AAAATGACTTCTGAATACAGTACCTTGGCTGTGACCGAAAGAACTGCAAAGAAATCCTTACATTCACTCAGTTGTTTATTGGTCACAATAACACAGATACTGTAATTTCATGAACTTTTATTTGAAATATTTTCAAACTATAAAAAAAACTGCAAGGATAAGAGATGGGGAAATAGTGTCTACCAGTGGGTACAGGGTTTTTTTAGGGGGTGATGAAAATATTCTAAAATTATTGTGGTGATAGTTGCAGAATTCTGTGAATATATTAAAACCATTGAATTGTATGCTCTAAGTGGGTGAATTGTGTGGTATATGAATTATATCTCAATATATTTGTAAAATAAAATAATAAGACAAAACACTCCCAAATCCTCCTCATTGAAATTCCCTAATTTTAACTTCACCACAATTTGCCTTCACTTGCTCTTTCTTTCTGGGCCACTTGAGAGTAGGGTGCAAACATGATTTCCCTTTAATACCCTTATATAACTTGCATATTTCCTAAAACCAATAAGAACATTCACCTGCAGAGCCAGAAAACAGCCACCAGAATCAGGAGATTATCACTGATTCAAACCCATTAACGCACAGATTCCATGTACATGTTGTCTTTCCCAATCGCATCCTCTACCTACCCAGGATCCCACTTGGCATTTAGTTTCCTTCAGTCTGGCTCTTCAGTCTGTCTTTACATGATCTTAGTAATTTTGAAAAGTACATACCACTTACTCTGTAGAATGCCCCTCTATTTGAGATGTGCCCTCATGAAGAAATTCAGGTCGTGCATTTTGGGCACGGAAGTGCCCATGTCCATGGACCCCATTGGGCACACGCTATTGACTTTTCTCTTTACTGGTCATATTCACTTTGACCAGTTGAAATGGCGTCTGCCAGGTTTCTCCACTGCAAGGTTAATTGATAAGTATTTTATGATTTTCATTGATAATTAATGTTTTTTACAGGTGAAGCTTTCAGACTGTGTAAACCTCCTGTTCTCTTTTATTTAATTTATTGGGGTGACATTGGTTAATAAAATAATACAGATTTCAGCTGTACAATTCTATAATACATCATCTGTATATTGTATTATGTGTTCACTACCCCGAGTCCAGTCCCCTTCCATCACCATTTATTCCTCCTTTACCCTCTTCGACCTCTCCCACACACCTTTCCCTCTGGTGATCACCATTCTGCTGTCTGTGTCTATGAGGGGTTTTTTTGTTTGTTTGTTTTTTGCTTAATCCGCTCACCTTTTTCACCCAGGCCCTCAATCCCCCTCCTTTATGAGAGCTGCCAATCTGTTTTCTATGAGTCTGTTTCTGTTTTGTTTGTCAGTTTATTTTGTTCATTAGATTTCACATATGAGCGAAATCATATGGTACTTGTCTTTCTCTGACTGGCTTATTTCACTTAGCATAATACTCTCCGGGTCCACCCATGTTGCCGAAAGGGTAAGATTTCCTTCTATTTATGGCTGAGTAGTATTCCATTGTGTAAATATGTCACAGCTTTTTTATCCACTCATTTACTGATGGGCACTTGGGCTGCTTCCAAATCTCCGTATTGTAAATAACACTGCAATGAACACAGGGGTGTATATATTCTTTCCAATTAGCATTTCAGGTTTCTTCAAATGCCATCCTGTTCTATGTATAATTTCACCCACTAGTCTTAGCATCCATGGATGGTTCTTGCCTACATCAGTTGTTACTATTAGTAGGCATTCTACTGAAAGGAAAACCTTTTCCTTCTCCATTTTAAAATTCACATCATACAGTCCTGGCTGGTGTGGCTCAACAGATTGAGTGCCGGCCTGTGAACCAAAGACCCATCGGTTCAATTCCCAGTCAGGGCACATGCCTGGGTTGTGGGACAGGTCCCCAACAGGGGATGCGTGAGAGGCAACCAGACACTGATGTTTCTCTCCCTCTCTTTCTCCCTCCCCTCTCCTCTGTCTAAAAATAAAATAAATAAAATCTCTTTTAAAATTTACATAATATTAAATCATTAATTCTCATTTGGTTCAGTCAGTTATAATCTGTTGCCAATTATTATTTATTTTGATCCTAAAACTGTCCCAGATTTAGACAGTGGAAGTTCCTTCAAGCTGGCTAATAAGCCCTTTGACATGTTCCCATCATTCTTTGAGTGCATTTTTAATTTCTTCCATAAGAAGTTCCAGGTTCATCTTGTTCTTCCCCTGCACCAGCATGAAATCAGCCACTTCTCCACATAGCTCTGTTTTCTTCTAGAGAAGAATAATGTTTGCAGAGCAAGATCTGAGAGCTGGGTGTGTTCATTGCTATTGGAGTGTTACTACTGCTAATTGTCTCAGTGGACAGACTAAGAGATATATTTATATAACATAGACACATAAATAAATATACCCCTGCATATATCTATTCTACATATGTCTAAGCATATTAGAAATCTTGACCTCATACCAATATCTCTAATTACAGTCCAGTATCACATGGCTTATCTTTGTCTCCTCCCTTTCCATGCCATGTCTCCCTTCGGCAATAGTGAGACGGGAGACCTAGCTCCCACCATACTCAAAGTATTGACTTATTTGCTGAATTCTCTTGTACAATATATTACCAATATCCTAAGTGAGTCAATTTTGATTTCATAATTTTGAAACTATGTTATATAATAGGTTCAAATATAAAACCCATGAAAATTTTTGTGGTTTAAAACATTTTTAAATTAAAAACTATATCAACATTGAATTGGAAATACCTTTGTAAACTAATGTTTTAAAAATGTATTGTAATAAAATGTATAGAATTCACATCCAATAGCAGCAATCTCACCTGGCATCCAGATCCTGGTTTCTACAGTAAATACCATTCCTCACTGAAAGGAACTCCAGGCTTCTTTGGAGAAATGGTTGATTCCAAGGCCAGGACCAAGAAAGTAAAGGTGACCTTGGAGTATAATATTGTTCCAGAAAACAAGGATGTATTCACAAAATGATGGGGTTGTGACACAAGGGCAGAAACCCCAGCATGAGGGGCTCCCACTGGCTACATCTGAGAAAATTTCAGCATCGAAAAGTAACTGTAATCGTTTAAAACAGTGAATAAATTATATTTATCATTCTACAGTGTTATTCAAAAAGAGAAAGGGAGATGTTTTATCACTCGCAGGGTAAGAATTTGCCACCATCAACAGCTTCCTATAAAAACTAGTAATTAAAGGAAAATAATTAAGTATAAATCGTACCTTTTACAGCAACTGTCCTTCCCCCCAAATGATAAGGAAATCCCCTTTACAGAATAATGCCATAAAATTAGAAAGCTACAATTCTGTGGTCCCCAGTAAAATAATGAATTCAAGCAAGATCGCCAGTGATTGCTAAAACCACAGAAGAAGTTCGTTGGGGATAGTGTAGTTTCAAGGTTCCAGAATGATTACTCCAAAATTATTAGCTAAGAGGGGAAAGATGTCTTTATTATAAAGCTACCTGGTGGTTCCCTCCTTAAGCAAGTGATTAAACTTGGCATCGCCAATGGTGAGCAACCTGACACCACATGCCTCTTGGTGTTATGCAAGTCCTTAGCATCACTTATAATGCTAGCCAATAAGTTCTTTTTTTCTTGTGATAACATGCATAGAACATGAAATTTACCGCTTTCACTACTTTAAAGTGAACAACTCTTTCAGTGCACTTAGTACATTTAGAAAGTGCGCATTCGCACTCTTGTGCAACCAGCACCTCTATCTAGTACCAGAACTTTTTTTTAGCACCCCAAACAGAAACTCCATGCCTTCCAGTCCCTGGCAACCACTCTGCTTTCTGTCTCTGTGACTTTGGCTAATGCATATAAATGGAATCATACAATATGCAGACTTTTGTGTCTGGCTTATTTCACCTCGAATAAGGTTTTCAAGGTTGATCATGGTATAGCATGTGTCAGTACTTCCTTTTTATGGCTGAATAATAGTTCATTGTAGGATATACAAAATTTTGTTTATCCTTTCATTCACTGATACGCATTTATGTTGTCTCCACCTTTTGGTTATGTGACTTATGCTGCTGAAGACATTCTTATACATGATTTTTTAGTGTATGTATGTGTTCATTTAGCCTGGAGATAAAGAGATACACACACACACACACACACACACACGTAGGAGTGGAATTGCTGGGTTTTATGGTAATGATGTTACATAGCCTACCAAGGAACCACAGACTCTTTTTCACAGTGGCTGTACTATTTTGCATTGCCAGTAGCAGTGTATGAGAGTTCCAATTTCTCCATATTCTTACTAAATCTCATTTTGCTTTTTATATAATTATTATTATTACTATTATTACTACCTTACTGGGTCTGAAGTGGTACTTCATGGTGGTTTTGATTTGCATTTCCCTAAAGAGGAATGAATTTGAGCACCTTTGTGTATGTGTGTCTATCTTTTCAGGAGGAAAGTCTATTCAAGACCTTTGAATATTTTTTAATTGGCTTGTCTTATTGTTGTTGAGTTTTAATAGTTATTTCTATATTCTGGATGCAAGTTCTTTATCACATGTATGGTTTGAAAATATTTTCTGCCATTCTGTGGATTGCCAAGCAATAACCTGACTTTTATCAAGCCTTCAGATCAGTGTACAGGAAATACATGAATAAGGAAATCAGCTAAATACCTCTACAAGACAGTTGGCTGTACTCTTCAAAAAGTCACTAATATGAGGACAAGGTGGGTGTGGAATGGAGACTTTCTGGAACAATAGAATAAAGAGATAACTAAATGCTATGTGTGAACCTGGGTCAGATTCTAAGCTGAACAAATTGAACAAAGTTCGGGGGTGAATGGGGAAATTTGATGCCGAAGAATGTCATTAGTTCATTTAGATTTACAATAACTTCTGGTTGTTTATATAGAGACAGAACTTCACAATGCCCACCACACACTTCCATATTGTTCAGAAGGAAAATAAACACACTCAGATATATCCCTGTGTATGAAGCAAATGATAACAATGATTGGATCCAGTGTTTGCTTTGGAAGCACATATACTAAAGTTGGAATGATACAGAGAAAATTAGCATGGTCCTTCTGCGCAAATATGACACGCAAATTTGTGAAGCATTCCATATTTTTCATTTAAGAAAAAGAAGATCAAAATGGTGAACAATAAAATGGCAATAAATATGTAACTATCAACAACTGAATCTAAAAAAGAAACTAAGCAAACAAGAAAAGCAGATACAGAATCATGGATATGGAGAGTGCTTTGATGGTTGCCAGATAGGAGGGATTTGGGGGGGATGGGGAAGGAAGTGAGGGGATTAAGACGTACACATAGCCATGGGGGTGTAAAGTACAGTGTAGGGAATGGAGTAGCCAAACAACCTACGCATGACCCACGGACATGAACAATGGTGTGGGGAAGGCAGTTGCGGGTGCTAGGTGGAGAGGGGCAAAGGGGGGAAAATTTAATCACATAATCAACTTTAATAACATAATCAATAAAATATAATCTTAAAATAATAATTATTGGATCCAGGCGGTGAAAGTAGAGGGGCTCATTGTATTATTCTTCAACTATAAATCTGACCTCAGTGCTACCCCTCTCGCCTTCACTCACTCTGCCCCGGTGTCTCGGGGCCTTTGTACTTGGTTATTCCTTCTCTACTCGCTACGCACACTCTTCCTCCAAACATCACATGACTTATTCTTCCAACTCCTTCAAATACTTGCTCAAATTTACCATCTCAGCCCTGACCCATGTGACTCAGCTGGTCGGGCGTCGCTCTCCGAGGTGAAAGGCCGTCAGTTTGATCTCTGGTCAGGGCACATGTCTGGGTTGCAGGTTCAGTCCCCCAGTTGGAGGGTATGAGAGACAACCAACTGATATTTCCCTGTCACATTGATGTTTCTCTCCCTCTCTATCTCCCTCCCTTCTTCTCTGTCTAAAAATGAATTTTAAAAATTACAAAAAAAAATAGTTTACCATCTCAGTAACATCTTCCCTGGCCACCTTACACAAAACTGCAACGCCTCTCAGCAATACCTACCCACTCCTTCCTGCTCCTTCCTTACTTAGGTCAAAGCCATCAAGTCGAAAACCACCTGGAACTTTCCTGGAGCTTTTCCTCAATCAAATATGGTATTGTTAACTCATTGCCACGGAGGAGACAACCCACCATGGGGAACCGTGGGTATCTGAGTGAGAGGGTTAAGCCAGGTGTTGGGTAATGTGAACTCAAAGAAAGAGGGCTTTCCTCTGGATTGGATGCTGCCAAGAGGTGGGAGTAATCCATGACTGAGCATCTTAATCATTCTTATCTAGGAGATGAGAAGAGCAAATGGAGGCTGGAGAGTACCATTGGTAAAAAAAAAAAAAAAAAGTAACAGCCATTCATATACACCGGGGCAGGATGCTTGGTCATTCCTGTGGTTTGGACAGCTCATGTTTTCCCTGTTTGGACAAGGTTTGTGTTTTTTTAAAGATTTTATTTATTTATTTTTGGAAAGAGAAAGAGAGGGAGAAAAACATCAATGTGCGAGAGAAATATCAATTGGCTGCCTCTCATCTGCCCCCAACCAGGGACCTGGCCTGCGACCCATGCATGTGCCCTGACTGGGAATCAAACCAGCAACATTTCAATTTGCAGGCTGGCCCTCAACCCACTGAGCCATGCCAGCCATGGCTGGTTTTTTTCTGTCTTGAGCATCATAAACACAGGTGGCCATGTCTGATGTCCACGTTCTAATGTTTTTATTCCACAGAACACAGGATTTGCAGTGAGAGCTGGGGTATCAGTGGCTGCTTGCTCTTTCTCACTGGTGTACTTATCTGCTGCACTCATTCTGTATTGCATACCTCTATCACCACAACATCAGCTCTAGAGAGCAGGTACTTCTGTCTGTTTGTCCCTTGCTGTGTCCCTAGCTGTTAGGTCTGTCCTGGCACAGGATAGGTGGCCAAATGTAATCCGTGAAGAATGAATGGAGCTTCTAGAAGCAGTCGCAAGCCTGCCCAAGGCTGCTCCTGTTGCTTGCCTGACTTTAGGATTCAAGGGATTCTTGACTCTGCAGACAGACTCTGCCCCAGGGGAGGTGCCTGACATGGGTCCCCTTTCTCCAGGGAGGACTCTGACCCATAGTGACCCCTGCCCAAGAGTGTGGGTGTGTGGTGTGGGGTGTGGCGTGTGGTCCTATGTACCTGCCTGTCCTGGAGCTGCCCGCCAGGAGCTGGGCCCTCGGACTCAGCATGTGGAAGAGGCCTATGGAAAGGCCTGGGCATGAGGAATCTCTCTGCTAAGGCACTAGCTCCTCCTCCAATGGGCTTCGTGACCCTGGCCAGACTCTCCTCCCCTCTGGGCCTCAGTTTCCCCATGACTCCAGGTGACTACAGGAGCCCTTCACATTCCAAAGAATCAGTGCCTATTTGTGCCAGTTAATTTGAAGACAGAGTGTTTTAGAGGTCCATAAAGACAGGTGTCAGCTCTCTTCCACCATCAGGCAGGTACCCACCAAGCACTCCTGGTGCTCCTGGCCCTGAGCGCAGCGTTCAGGAGGCAGGGCAGGCAGGACCATCAGCTCAGGACGAAGGTGGTGGGTGTGCTCCATGAGGCTGAGGCACAAGGACCACTGATTCACTAAACAAGCACTTTAAGGGAGCCTGCTCTGGGCAGTCCTGACTGTTTGGTGTGCTTGGTGTACACTAGTATATAAAATTAAATTATCCTCTGCTTTCCTGAGCTCACATTCTAGTGAGAAAAATATAAATTTTCCTTTTCTAGTTTTAATTTTTAAAGATTTATTGGGGAAACATTGGTTAATAACATTATGTGAGTTTCAGGTGTACAACTTTGTGACACGACATCTGTATACTCTATTGTGTGCTCACCGCACAAAGTCTAGTCTCCATCCATCACCATATAGTTGACCCCCCCCCCTTTTATCCTCTTCATTCTCCCAAAAAAAAACATTTTTTCCCCTGTGGAAAAAAGAAAAGTAGAGCAGGTAGGAGACTGGACGGTTGGGGGGGTAGGGGCGGGGTGCTATATGCACTTTTAAATGGAGTGGTCATCCTAGGCCTATTAACACAGTGACATTTGACAGAGTGACAATATTAGGGAAAGAACTTTCTGGGAAGAGGCCTCAAGTGAAATCGAGGAGGGCAGAGGGCGGGAGCAGAGCTAGGAGAGCAGGAAGCAGGAGGGGGCAGGAGGTTTTCCCTCACAACAGATCAGCAGCCATGGCAGTTTCAGGGCTGAGAGAGGAAGGTCCAGGAGGGCTGTGGTCTCTGGCCTGAGCTTCTGGAGCTGGAGATGAGGACCCTGGAAGCCCCAGACTTCTGAATGGGGAGAATAACTCACAATGTCATGTGAGCACTCAGGCATGATTTAGGTTATTATACGTGTATTCGCAATTTATTGACGAGTTCTAGGAACTGGTTAAAGGATTATCTCTGGAAGTGAGAAGGTGAGAAGGGAAACTTTTTTTAAGCTGTACTTTTGTCAGGATTGCTATTACAATTAATGCCTTTAAAGATTTCATTTATTTATTTTTAGACAGAAGGGAGGGAGAAAGAGAGGGAGAGGAACATCAGTGTGTAGTTGCCTCTCACGCGCCCCCAACCGGGGACCTGGCCCTCGACCCCGGCATGTGCTCTGACTGGGAATTGCACCAGAGATACTTTGGTCCACAGGCCAGCGCTCAATCCAGTGAGCCACACTAGCCAGGGCTAATGCATTTAATTTTTATATAAAAAATATTAAAACATTTTAAATATGTGCACAAAACATGTGTTAAAGAAAATGTAGGGGGGAAAGCCTGAGAGTGTGGAGATTATGTGTTTCTGTGTGTGTGTGTGTGTGTGTATAATAAACCAAATTACAGAAATACACTCTGACTCCATTTGACAAGTGAAAATGAACAAATAGATTCCAATCATCATGTGAGGACACGCTCAGCCTCAACAACAAATAAGAACAGGTGCCACTACACATATTACCACAAATAAATAGAAGTCATAACACTGAGGGATTGAGCAAAAGGGAAAAATGACTCATGGACATGGACAAGAGTGAGGTGACTGCAGGGAGTAGGGGCTAGAGGGAGGCTAAATGGTACTGGGGAAAATGCAATAAAAAAGTAAAAGCTTAGGGGAAGAAAAAGTCCTAACACTGAATGTCAGCCACGCTGGGGGAAAACTGGTCCCCACCGTATATTGTAGGGCTCAGTTTGTACCCAGAGCTGTTGATGGAGGCTCCACATCTTTCTCTGAGTGCCCCTGGGTGCTCTCTGTGAGGCAGCTGGGAGGTGGCTGTGGGAAAAATGGGACAGGAGGAGCTCTGTGGGTTCCCCAGCAGACCCAGGCCTGGGCTCTGGGATTGTTCTGCAAGCCGCCCTCTGCCAGGAGACCCCAGATTCCTGGCTCAGACACAAAGACAGGTCACGCTCTGGGGCAGCGCACAGCTCAACACCCACCTCATGAACTTAATGGTTTTAGTAACAGGTGCACAATGTGGAAGCCTAGTGAAAAACACACAAAAACAAATATGAATAGCCCTAACCATCACAACTTAGGGATAATTGTTGCTACCCATTTGTCGCATTTCTATCCAGCCCTTTCTTCTATTTAAAAAACGCTATCATAGTTTATGTCCTGTTTTTCTGCCTCTTATACAAAAATTTGTATTTCAAAAAAGATGTGAAGAAACGTTTATTATACTTAAAAATTTTAAATCAAGCTATTTTTTGTTTAACTTAAAAACACATGTATGAAAATTCACTCTTTTCAAGAAATATTATATTAAGCACATTAGCATGATTGCCAGGGGGGTGGGGGGAATGGACTGAGAGGATCAAGAGATATAAATAGAGCAGGAGGGGGGTCTTGTACAGGCTGGGGTGAGAATGTGACAGACAGAATTGTAGGATCCTGTGACCCAGGCTTTGTAGGAGGAGTCTAGCTTCCCCCCAGCCTGGGTGCCCAGCCTGGAGAGTCCACCCCAACCAAGTTGCTGGGATACTTGGCCTGTAGAACCACAGAGAGAACTTCATCCCGGTGAGGAAGGGGTTAAAAGGCAGAGGCAGGAGAGGCTCTGAAGCCAAAACTGTCACTCACACCCTGTGACACCTGGTCTCAGTTTCCCTCTATGGGCCTCAGTTCACTCATTTGTAGATTGGAGCTTATAAGGTCATGTTACAGAAGCTTAAGGAACAAAGAATGCTTCCGTGGGCATCTTCTTCATGGAAAGGCCAGGGTCGGTCATTAGAGAGGCCAGTCTCTGGGCCGGGCCGACACGTGGACCCTCAGCCCCGGCCTCAGCCCCATCTCCTGGAGCCTGGGCTCTGGCTGTGGCCCAGGGAGGGAGCCTGGAGAGGCAGCCCCTCATCCCACCTGTCCCTTTAAGCTCTGACTGCTTTTTGTCACTGGATCTGATAAGAGACCCCACCTTTATCGCCCCCTCCCCTCTCCTGATGAAATGATCACAGCCTGGCCCCCACCCCCACTCCACGTACATCAGGAGACCCTGGGGGCTGAGCACCATGGAGGTCAGTCCAGGGCTCACTCAGCTCAAGCTTGGCCACCTCCACGTCTCTGACCAAGGCCGAGAGGACCATCATGTCCGTGTGGGGCGAGATCTCTGCACAGGCAGATGCCATCGGCATAGAGGCCCTAGAGAGGTGAGTGTCAGACGGGCTGAGATGGGGCCAGGTAGATGAAAATGTGGGGTTAGTGAGGACAGGGACAGTGAGGAGGGGTCCGTGAGTTTAGGGGTTCTCTGAGGGGGAGGTCAATGAGTTGAGGAAGATGAATTGCAAAGACATCTGACTGACCCTGGGCTCAATGAGGCCTGAGTAGGAACAGGCACATGGAAGGGCCTGAACAGTTTCTTCCGAGGCCTGAAGTGCCTTCTGAGACAGTCAGGTTGCTACCAGCACTGATATTGGGGTCTCTGACCCTGAGGAAATCAGGGTCAAAAGAGGTTCTCTAAGAGCCTTTGGGAGATGCATCTGGAGAGAGAGTTATTTCTGGCAGAAGTTGAAGTAGGGAGCTGGTTAAGGATGAAAGGAGGCCCCTCTAGCGAGGGGAGGAGAAAGGAGCTGGATGCCAAGGCAGTCGGAGTTGAGGAGCTGGCTGTGCAGACCCAGTAGAAAGCAAGGAGACAAGCCAGGAGTTGCTGTGGTCTGGAATAGGCACGGTTGGGTAGTGGGGGCGGGAGGGGGCGGTGCGGCTCCAGCTGAGGACCGTGGGGCTTGGGTAGGAGACTTGAGGCTGGGAGAGAAATGGGACCTGCCAAGCTTGCAGAGCCTGTGGCAGGGTTGAACTTGGGTCCTCAAGCTCGGAGAAGAGGGGAGGGATGGTAAGGAGGTGGACAGACTGCCCTCTTCCAGAGCTCACCCCCACCCCCACACTGCAGGCTCTTCGCCAGCTACCCCCAGACCAAGACCTACTTCCCACACTTCGACCTGCACCCTGGCTCTGCGCATCTGCGTTCGCACGGCTCCAAGGTGGTGGCCGCCGTGGGCGACGCGGTCAAGAACATCGACAACATCGCCGGCGCCCTGTCCAAGCTCAGCGAGCTGCACGCCTACGTTCTGCGCGTGGACCCGGTCAACTTCAAGGTGGGCGCGGCCGGGTCAGGACAGGGCGGGGCCGCAGTGCGAGGAGGGCAGGGTGTCCGCGAGAGGGGGCCCCGTTCCCCACCCAAAGAGCACCCCAGCCCCACTCCAGCTCCCTCACCCCGCTCTGAGCAGCCCTCCCGCCCCTCAGCTGCTGTCCCACTGCCTGCTGGTGACGGTGGCCTCGCACTTCCCGGCGGACTTCACGGCCGACGCCCACGCCGCCTGGGACAAGTTCCTGTCCGTGGTGTCCAGCGTCCTGACCGAGAAGTACCGCTGAGCGCCGCCGAGGGACCCCAGAGGACAGGCTGCAACCTCTTTTCTACCTCTGAGCCTTTCCTCAGTTCCTCCGGATATTCCCCCAATAAATGGATGAGGAAGGAGTGAGCTGGGTCCTGCTTCCTCAGTACTGAGAGAAAGGAGGGAACAAAGTGAGGATAGTGTCACTCCCGGCCTGGAAGCCACCCCCAGGGCGCTTTGACGCGGTCCTGGAGGCTGCGGACCCCATAGGAGCAGCCTGGAAAGAGCAGAGCAGCCCCAAGCACACCCATGAGGTTTTCTCTGGGCGCCTTTACACCTCAAACCGTCTTTTAAAATCGCCCAAAGACTGTCGCTTTACTGAGCATGTTGACTGCGTGTGGGGACTCAGGGGACTTTTCTTCATGTGTGGTGTCATAGCTCCCACGCTGCGGGGATTCCTGATGCGGTTCCTCTCCTGGTCTCTGGGGAAAAAGGGGATTCCATGCCCCGCACTCTTTCTCCTGATACTTCCATAGGCTCCCTTCTGGCACGCCGAGCAGTAACTCTGCGCGCAAGGAACTCATTACAGATCCCCCTGAGTCTGCAGCAAAGACACCCACACACAGAGACATCAGTGCCAGTGACCCAGTACTCCCGAGGCCGTGGCCTCCGAGGCTTTGGGAGCCTCGACTGGCGACCATTCCCGGTGCGAGCCGAGGGTCCCCGCGTTCCCGCCGCGCTCCTGCAGATAAAAGGCGCGCGGAGGTGGTGGTGGGCGGGGTGCCGCTATAAGGAGGCCTGGGCGGCGGCCGCGGACTTCCAGAGCACGCCACGCCCGCGCCATGCTCAACGCTCAGGAGCGCGCCCACGTCGCACAGGTCTGGGACCTGATCGCAGGACACGAGGCGCACTTCGGGGCGGAGCTGCTGCTCAGGTGGGTAGGGGGTAGGTCTCCAGAATCTCAGGGAGGTGGAGACAGGAGTCTTAAGCCTAAGACTGGAAGAGCGCGGGGCTCAGGAGAGACGGAGGTTTCCGGGGGTCCGGGCTATGCAGGAGCTGGAGGACCTCACGCTGCTCGCCCTCCCCGACTAACCTGCTCCCACAGGCTCTTCACTGTGTACCCCAGCACCAAGACCTACTTCAAGCACATGGGCGCCTGCCCTGACGAGGTGCACCTGCTGAGCCAAGGACAGCGCATGCTAGAGGCAGTGGGCGTTGCCGTGCAGCACGTGGACAACCTGCGCGCGGCCCTGAGCCCGCTCGCGGACCTGCACGCGCACTTGCTACGCGTGGACCCTTCCAATTTCCCAGTGAGGCAGCCTCGGCCGCAGTGGGGTTCGCGCGCGAAGCTGGAGGTTGGGGGATTCCGGAAGAAACTGGAGGGGGCAGATACCCTTTAACCCACCCCTTCGCCCGCAGCTGCTGATCCAGTGTTTCCAGGTGGTGCTGGCCTCCCACCTACAGAACGAGTTCACGGTGGAGATGCAGGCTGCGTGGGATAAGTTCCTGACGGGCGTGGCCATAGTGCTGACCGAGAAGTACCGCTGAGTCCTGTGTCCCGCATGTAAATAAACAGGCCTCAAACGTGAAGACCCTGAGTATGTGTAGTCGTTGGGTCTTCGGGGGGACGTCACTGTGGCGGGGCAGAGAACCTCTGGGTCCCGCCGGGAACCTCCCGGAATCTTAGGGAAGGACCCCAAAACCTTGCCGTTAAGGCAATGGGGCCGGGAGCGGACACCGGGAGCTCTCCAGACTTGGAATGAAGACGGTTCCAGTCTGACAGTCCCGGGTCTAGACAGGATACCCGAAGTCTTGAATAAAACAGTTGCCTTCCTGTGGCGGGGGAATGTGGTGGGGCAGAGCGGGTGCTTGAATGGGGGGAGCGTCTAAGGGTTTCAGCGTGCATCCGGCACTCCCGCGGAATCACAGTGTTCAACAAAGCACATCGCCTTCACGCATTCATTTATTCTCCCTCCATCCGTCCCTCGCACCGGCAGCTGCGAGGGTGAATTTCGGCCTTCTTTGCCCACAGACGTGAGCACCCAGACACAGAGGCCAAGTTCCTGGACTGAGGTCCGAGTTTGGGAGCCAGGGCTCCTTGGACCCTCGTCTCTGTTCCCTTACCGCTTCCTTTCACATTCCCCACCACCACCACGCTCAATCCGCAGCAACCCTTACTATGGGACAAATTAGCCTGTTCCTCTGAATTTCCTGGGTGGGAGGATGGGGTACGGTGGAACTCCTAGATGGCCAAAATCTGGCAGAGAGAGTAGATTTCCAACCCGGTTCACACCAACAAGCTGTGTGATTTTAGCTGAATGCATCGATGAAGGAAAAGAAAAAGAAAAATACACCCGACCTCGCTTGGCTTTGCAATAATTTTTGAGATCATAATGCTGGAGCCGGGCAAACCATGGCTACCCAACCTCCACCCCACCGCCCAGCCCCAGCGGCTGTGTCTCTTTGCGTGTTTTTCGTCCAAGCCGCCTGCCCCCGCCCCGCCACCCACCCACCTACCTTCCCCCTCACCCCAAATCTCTTCATTCTGCCTCTTGGGGCAGAAACCTTAATGCTTCACCCACAACCTTTGCGGAAAGGGAACGGAAGAGGGAAGAGGACTCTGGTGCTCTGCAGACTCAATGGGGGCGGTTTGCGGGCGGGCCGGCCCCAGTCTCTGCTGGGGGTGGAGGGGTGTTGTGGGGCAGAGTGGTAGGCGCCCCAGTCTGAGGGGGATGCTAGAGGCTAGCTCTGACCGTGGCTCCGCAGAGTTCCCCCCGCCTCGTGCTGACCGAAGTGCATTGGGAGAAGGAGCATATGGAGGATTCACCCCATAATATCCTTCATCCTCGATGTTTACACGTACAGTTGACAGCTCTTGGCAAAATCTGGTGCAAAAGCGGCATGTTTCATTTCGGAAAAAAATTTGCGCTCCCCACACTCACTGACAGGCAAAAGGACACCTCGAAGGTTTCGCCGGCTCCGCCTACACCTGGGTGCAAGGGGGATTTGGGTGGCCCAGGCACCTGGGTGAGAACCCTAGAACCGCTGGAATGGCAAAAGAGGGCACCCTCGAGGGCAGAACTAGGCCGTGCGGGACCTGGAGTGCGAGGGCGGCCTTGGAGGCCCCTTCTCCGGACGGCGTCCTCGGCCCCTGTCCTTGGAACGGCGCCAGCCAATGAGCGCGGCCGGGGCGGGCGTGCCCCCGGCGCCCCGGGCATAAACGCTCTGCACACTGCCCGCCCGCCACCCTTCTGGTCCTTGAACAGACTCAGAAAGAACCGACCATGGTGCTGTCTCCCGCTGACAAGACCAACATCAAGGCCGCCTGGGATAAGGTGGGCGGCCAGGCTGCCGACTATGGTGCGGAAGCCCTGGAGAGGTGAGGACCTCCTTTTCCCTGCTCGGATGGACCCCGGGCCTCAACGCCGGCCCACGGGCCTGCCCGCACCGCCGCCGTAGGCTCCGACCTGGCTACCGCCCACATCCCCGAGCTCTCAGGGTCTGGAACGCGGCCCTGCCCCAGGAGGCCAGCCGGCCTCTCGGATCCATCCGCGTCCAAGGCCCCTGGCCCGGCCCTGGACCCGCCACCCGCACCTTCAACCCCACCTCTCGCCCTCTTTTCCCCGCAGGATGTTCCTGAGCTTCCCCACCACCAAGACCTACTTCCCCCACTTCGACCTGGCCCACGGCTCCGCCCAGGTCAAGGGCCACGGCAAGAAGGTGGCTGAAGCCCTGACCAAAGCCGTGGGCCACATTGACGACCTGCCTGGCGCCCTGTCAGCTCTGAGCGACCTGCACGCCCACAAGCTGCGCGTGGACCCCGTCAACTTCAAGGTGAGCGCGGCCGCCCGGCCGGCAGAGGTCTGGGCGGAGGGCTCCGGTGGGTTCCCTGCGGGTGCCGCGCGGGAGGCCGCGTCCCGACGCCCCCTGATACCAATCTCTTCGCAGCTCCTGAGCCACAGCCTGCTGGTGACTCTGGCCAGCCACCTCCCCTCTGATTTCACCCCTGCCGTCCATGCCTCCCTGGACAAGTTCTTGGCTTCCGTGAGCACCGTGCTGACCTCCAAATACCGTTAAGCTGGAGCCGCGGCTCTCCCCGCCCTGGGTCGGGGCCCCTTGGCGCTCCGCGCACCCGCACTTCCCGATCTTTGAATAAAGTCTGAGTGGGCTGCACCCTGCGTGGCCTCAGTTCTCTGTGCCCCGAACGTGCCAAGGGTGGGGGTGGTTCTCCTTGCTTCGGACCGAAGGCTTCTCCGCAGCCGGCGAAGAGAGGGAACGAGAGGGAAAAGGAGGCAAGAGATAAGGCTGACGCTTCCAGCAATACGCTGGAACAGGCTTCTGGCCTAGGAGGTGCCAGACTTCCCAGGGTTCCTATCTGGGGCAGAGGTTGGGGAGTATTAAGAACAGCCACCGACCCTGGCTCTGTGGCTCAGTTGGTTGGAGTGTCATCCTGTAGACAGAAAGGTATCGGGTTCGATTCCCAGTCGGGGAACCTACCCAGGTTGTAGGTTCAGTGTCCTGATGGGGCAGATACAGATGTTTCTCTCTCTCCCCCCACCCACCTCCGCCCCTCCCCACTGTCCTTCCTTTCTCTCTGGAAGCAATGGGGAAAAAAACGAAAAAAAAAAAAACAAAACAAAACGAAAAAACCTCCTCAGGTGAGGATTAAAGAGAGAGAGTTGCCACCCACTTTGAAGCCTCTCCTACTGATCACTGTTAAACAAACTATCTAGATCAAAATAAAACAATCAACCCCCTAAAATATACTGCTCCTGGTGCAAAGGCAGGTACTAGACAATTTTCATGAGATTCCCACCTCTTCCCTACAAGAGAGAAGATGAGTTGGAATGGGGATCAAAGTCCCAAGCACCCTCTGCAAAGTCACAAAAACAAAAAGCTCTGCAGGCAGGTGGGCAGGACAGTGTGGGAAGAGGGGCATGAGCTGCCTGCAGCAATCAGGGTACCCTGGGGAGAGCACTTTAACAGAGTGTCTTGCTCCCTTATTCAGCATTTCATGAGGCACATTAATAGCTCATTGTGTTCCCAGCCCTGCATCCCCTAGCTCAACACCCCTCCTGCCCCCATTCTGTAGTCAGAGCTTCCTGGGGTCTCCCAGCTGATCTACAAAGCTGTGAGGAATAAATAGACGAATAGGTCCCTGTCCGAGGTGTCAAAGCCCTGGACTCCACACTGGAATCTCGCACACTCCACCTGGCTCTGCAGCCACCTGCAAGACACCATCCGTGCCCTAGCCCAGTCCCAATCTCTAGGGCAACATACAGCGCTGGATAAAAGTTTCGGGAGTGTGGCAAACCCCTTGCTCACCACTTTGTTTTTTGGACATGGGACCCCGAAGAGGTCGGGCATTGCTTTCCCCTCTCCACCATGCACTTGTCCTTTGCCTCACAGTCCAACTTATTTTTATTTAAAAGGAGAAAAACAATTAAGAAATAAGTTAAAATCCACTTATGTTTTCACACACACACAGCCTTTTTGTGTTATTCAAAGTAGGGAGACAGTGTCCCTCTGCTTTGTCCTCCCACCCCTGAAGAAGAAGCTCAAGTCAAGAGTTTGGGACTAAGCCCACTGGTTCCTATCTTGTGCTGAGGGTACATAGCTATATCTACATCTACACATTTTTGTCAGAAATATCATCATAACAGATATTAGTCTGCAACCTGCTCTTTTCACTCAACTTTGTCTTCTCTACATCTCTTCTGGCCAGTTTATTCAACTGTCTCATTTTCATCAATATATTGGTTATTTCTATATCTTTGTTAATTTCCTTTGTCAATTTTTTTCTTAAGCCATTTGTGTGTGTGTATCCTTCCTATATGAAAAATGTAAGCCATTGACCGAGGTGTGTTTTCTAAGTCTTGCCTTAAGAGAACTCAGGGGGCAGGAGGATTGGAGCAAGATGCAGAAGGAGGGGTTTGTCCCAGTCCTGGGGAGTGGAATTTGGTGCTTCCAAGCCCCCAGGGTCTTATTCCTTTTATTCTTCAGAACCAGGAGTGGGTCTGAGTCTGTCGACAAAATCCGGAAAAGAGTGAAGAGTAGTAGGAAGGGGAAATGGAATGAAGTTGGGAAAGGGTCCAGGAAGAACAAAATGAGAAGACACAGACGACAGAGCCCAAGGGAGCCTTGCTAAGGCTTGTCTGAGCTGCTTTCTTCTCTGTCCAGGTCGATTTAGCCACCGATTCCTCCTGGACACACAGGGCAAGTTTTTTTTCTTTTTTCTTTTCTTTTTCTACAGTGCAAGTCTTCAGTGAAGGTCTTAGGGGAGGGATGGGGACAGAAGGGTGGGTGTATCAATGACTTCCCTTTTCACTCAGTTCTGATGTTTAACCTCATCAGTAATTCCCTACCACCAACTACACCAAGAGATTGTTACCAGTAAGGGGAATGTACCAGCTGGAATTCCTGCGGCTTCTTACTGTTTCACTGGAAGTTCCTCTCTTCCCCTGTCCTGCAGGATCTGGCCAGCTTCTTCACACCCACATCTCCCCTCATCTATTATGCAGCCATAGAGGCCCTCTCTCCCCCTGGCGCCCTTACAAGCCAAGTGGAGGGCTCCCCCTCCACCCTGCTCCACCTAATACTCATCCTCCAATCTCACCTCCTCAGGGAAGCCCACCATGATCCTCAGAGTAACCCTAATATCCTTGAATGCCTCATCCACTCCCTTCATGCTTTCTTAGGGCCTTTAATGAGGTTTGAGACTAAGTGTATTTGTGATGATTTGATGACCGTCTATGTACTTAACTAGGTTGAAAGCTCAGCTCTTGTTAAGCAGTTGCTTTATTTATCAATTCAATCACTATTTACCTAATGAGTCTTGCCGCAGGCAAAATTTGAGACATGGGAAGGGGGCATCGCTGTGAATCAGGACCATTTGGTCGTTCACACAGTCACACAGGGATCCTGAATGAGAGGGGAAGCCCTAATGAGTTCCCAAGATGGCGCCGCAGGATCACCACCCCGGGGAGAAGCTTAAGCCAGGAGCCTCCCAGCCCAGCCGGAGGAATCCTGTCCCTCGGTATTTGTTTCTCCCGGACAGATGCTCAACGACAGGCAATGGTTATTTGTGGGAGGTGGGGAGGGGAAAAAGGGGCTGGAAGAATCAAGACTGAGGGGAGCAGGAGAGAACCTAGGCAGGAATTCTTGACAACGTGTAAACAAGGACCTCCTTGTGCATACATCTCTCCCTCCGGCCTGAACTAGGCGAGGTCTTTCTTCCTTCCCGCACTCAGTAGCCCATTCATTCATTGATTCTGCCAAAGTGAGGCATGTCCAGCGTTCACGGAGCCTAGGTCCAGGGCGGGTCCTCAGGGGAGAGCAACGCGGGGCTGGGGAAGCTCAGAAACTCTAAGAGTGTCATAAGCTAATGCAGTGGAAGAGCCAGCAACGACCCACCTGTACACATCGACCTCCACCGACTGGGGGCTGAGGATATCACCTCCAGAGGAGGTGGATACAGCGGTCAAGAAGCAGCTACTGAGAGGAAGAAATATCCTGGCCTGAGGACAGGGGGTGCCTCCGCAAACTACGAGCAACGCCACCTCCCGAGCCGCTGGGCGCCCCCTGCCGTGATGGCCAGGAGGCGTTTCCCTGGCTCCGAGCCAGCCAATGAGCGCGGCCGGGGCGGGCGTGCCCCCGGCGCCCCGGGCATAAACGCTCTGCACACTGCCCGCCCGCCACCCTTCTGGTCCTTGAACAGACTCAGAAAGAACCGACCATGGTGCTGTCTCCCGCTGACAAGACCAACATCAAGGCCGCCTGGGATAAGGTGGGCGGCCAGGCTGCCGACTATGGTGCGGAAGCCCTGGAGAGGTGAGGACCTCCTTTTCCCTGCTCGGATGGACCCCGGGCCTCAACGCCGGCCCACGGGCCTGCCCGCACCGCCGCCGTAGGCTCCGACCTGGCTAGCGCCCACATCCCCGAGCCCTCAGGGTCTGGAACGCGGCCCTGCCCCAGGAGGCCAGCCGGCCTCTCGGATCCATCCGCGTCCAAGGCCCCTGGCCCGGCCCTGGACCCGCCACCCGCACCTTCAACCCCGCCTCTCGCCCTCTTCTCCCCGCAGGATGTTCCTGAGCTTCCCCACCACCAAGACCTACTTCCCCCACTTCGACCTGGCCCACGGCTCCGCCCAGGTCAAGGGCCACGGCAAGAAGGTGGCTGAAGCCCTGACCAAAGCCGTGGGCCACATTGACGACCTGCCTGGCGCCCTGTCAGCTCTGAGCGACCTGCACGCCCACAAGCTGCGCGTGGACCCCGTCAACTTCAAGGTGAGCGCGGCCGCCCGGCCGGCAGAGGTCCGGGCGGAGGGCTCCGGTGGGTTCCCTGCGGGTGCCGCGCGGGAGGCCGCGTCCCGACGCCCCCTGATACCAATCTCTTCGCAGCTCCTGAGCCACAGCCTGCTGGTGACTCTGGCCAGCCACCTCCCCTCTGATTTCACCCCTGCCGTCCATGCCTCCCTGGACAAGTTCTTGGCTTCCGTGAGCACCGTGCTGACCTCCAAATACCGTTAAGCTGGAGCCGCGGCTCTCCCCGCCCTGGGTCGGGGCCCCTTGGCGCTCCGCGCACCCGCACTTCCCGATCTTTGAATAAAGTCTGAGTGGGCTGCACCCTGCGTGGCCTCAGTTCTCTGTGCCCCGGAACGTGCCAAGGGTGGGGGTGGTTCTCCTTGCTTCGGACCGAAGGCTTCTCCGCAGCCGGCGAAGAGAGGGAAGGGGATAAAAGGACAGAGGACGGAGTGAAGCCAGTTTTGTCACTGCCTGAGATTCACTGGGCAACCCCGCCCTCTCCCCAATTCTCACCCTGGAATGCTTTGCTGCATACATTCCCCTTTCTACATTTCATTCCAGAGCTTTTGCTATTCAACACAAGTTGGCTTGAATAATGGAATCGATTTCCATCTTTACATTCTACAGCATTTACATTCAGAGTTGAGGGGCCTCCAGCCTAGTAACTCTGAGCTCTCCAAGGGCTCCTCCCAGAGCTGGACAGTGGGGAAGCCGGATGGGCCACACGGTTTCAGAGGTGAACTGAATGCTCCCCTCTCTGTCAAGTGCCTCCCAAAACACATGCACAGTCTAGATGAAATGGGGATTGAGCAGTGCAATTGCAGATGCCAGGCAATTTCCTTTTCATCTAAGGCTACCTCTAGGATGCTCACTCTGTAGATACATCTTGGAGCCATTACAGGTCTGGAGACCCAGTTTGGGGGCCCAGCACGACATCCACTGCAGGCTGGCACCTCTGACTCACTCCAGTGCTGCAGGGGAGAGGGGAGCTAGAGCCAAAGAGCCTGCGCTCCAGGGTGCTTCTTCCCCACACAGGGGGCTCCTAGTGCTGCAGCCTCCGAGTGAGGCCTTGAGGGTCAGGTCCTGGCTGCTGTACAGCTCCAAGCTTCCAGCGGGCGAGCAGTGTCCTTTCTTCCCTGGGTTCAAGAGCGGTCCTTGGAAAATGAGACAGCAGGCCTCCTGCCTCAGTTTGTGATGTTTTTTAGCACAGCTCATGGCAAAGTCTGAGCTCTCAGTAAGAGGCAGTCTTCCTTATTTTATTAGGAAAAGTGAGGGAACAACCTAAATGTCCTTCAACTGATTAATAGACCAACAAAATGTGGTTCATCCATACAGTGGAATGTTATTCAGCCATAAAAACCAATGGAGTATCAATACATAATACAAAGTGCATAAACATTGAAAATGTGCTAAGCGAAAGAATCCAGACACAAAAGATCATATACTGTATGATTCTATTTATATGAAATGTCCAGAATAGGTAAATCCACAGAGTCAGAGAGCACATTGGTAGTTACCAGGGGCTAGAGGAGAAGGGTTATGGAATGACTGCTAATGGATACAGAGTCTCTATTTGGGATGATGAAAGAGTTCTGGAACTGGATAGTAATAATAGTTGTACAATAGTGTAAATGTAATTAAGGACAACAAATTGTACACTTCGTTATTTTTTATTTTTATTTTTTAGAGAGAGGGGAAGAGAGGGAAAAAGAGAGGGAGAGAAACATTGATCTGGAGGTGACTGGGGATGGAACCTGCAACCCAGTCATGTGCCCTGACCTGGAATCCAACCTGCAACTTTTCGCTTTGCAGGACAATACCCAACCAACTGAGCCACACCAGCCAGGGCCTGAATTGTACATTTTAAAATGACTAAGACGGCAAATTTGATGTTATAGGAATTTTACCACCACCACCACAACAACAAAAAGAATGTCACCTGGTACAAAATGAGTGTCACAGAGGTATTAGTTATTATTACAAGATATCCTAGGCACTCAAGAAATGTTCACTGTCCTGAAAGGAACATTTGCAATGCCAAAATCCACGCTAAAATTTAGTGTTACCTAATAATAATATGTATTAAATACTGGTTTCCACAGAGTAAACACTACAAAAACGGGGGCCTTGGAGTCCAGGGCAATTGGAAAGGTCCCAGGGCAGAGCAGATGGGGACTGAAGGCTTCCCGATCCTTGGGGACCAGACTCTGCAACGTGGCACCCCCTAGAGGCCGCCAGGACGCGCCGGCCGACTGGCGCGGGAACAGTTGGCGCTAAGCTTGCCGGGCAGGCGGGAGGTTCCACGATGGCGCTGTCCGCCGCGGACAGGGAGGCACTGTGCGCGCTGTGGAGAAAGCTGGGTAACAACGTGGGCATCTACGCGACGGAGGCCCTGGAGAGGTGCGGACAGGCCCTAGCGCCCTCTAGGCTCCCCCCCGCCTTCCTGACCGCCGCGGGAACGGGTCCCCCACCCCTCATGATGCCCTCCTCCTCAAGCCTCCACCCTAGGGTAGCACCTCACTCTCTATTCCTCCCGAAGGACCTTCCTGGCCTTCCCCTCCACCAGGACCTACTTCCTCCACCTGGACCTGAGACCCGGCTCCGCCCAGGTCAAAGCCCACGGCCAGAAGGTGGCCAAAGCGCTGACTCTGGCCGTGGACCACCTGGACGACCTGCCCGGCGCCCTGTCGGCTTTGAGCGACCTGCACACGCACAGGCTGCAAGTGGACCCCGTCAACTTCAAGGTGAAGGCGGGACCTTCTCAACAGGGGTTGGGGGAGCTCCCACAAGGTGCAAATGTGGGGGGACAGACGGATCTCGGTGGGGACTACTCTGTCCTTCCGCAGCTCCTGGGCCACTGCCTGCTGGTGACCCTCGCCCGGTACTACCCCGGAGACTTCAGCCCCTCTCTGCAGGCCTCGCTGGACAAATTTCTGAGCCAAGTGACTTTGGCCCTGACCTCCAACTATCACTAAACTAGGGGTGGATGATCGCAGGACCGCCCGCCCCGACCCCCCAGCCTTCCCTCCCTGCATCGTTCTAGTGTCTGAGTAAAGCCCCCAAAAGAAAACCTCAGCCGCCTGCGTGCATATGTTTCCTGTGGGGTGTGTGCAAGGGTCCTGATGGGATTCGGGAGGTGCTGCTTTCCCACCAAAGGAAGGGTGGGGGTCTGGAGGAGCCTGAACTGCACAACCCGCCTAGGTCTGATCTGGGTGCACCCCTGGTCCACTTCCACTAGACGCCCTGGGTGGCCGAGGGGAGATTCCAGTCGCCTTACCCTCGGTGGCCAGAGGAGTTTGGTGCAACGGGGTCCCAAGTGCATATCTTAAACCCCGACCCACCACGCCCTTGGCTGCAGCCACTTGGAGAAACAGGCCCAAGGTTTCAGACCTTCGGAAGTAAGGTAGCATGTTGGGGGTCATAGGCTTGCCCTAGCTGACGAGGCCTGGCCCCTCCCCAGAGCTGCTCGCTTCGGGTGACTCCACGCATCTCGGTATTCGGGACCTGGTCTCTCACCTACCTAGAACTGAGGGCAGGGTACCGGGCCGCGGGGTACAGCCCTTAAGAAAGTTAGGGAATGGCGCCCCCTGTCGGTGGGAATAGGACTTACTCAGAGACCAACCCGGACAACAGCACACAGTGGCTCTAGAACAGTATTGGGGACTAAGGATCCAGGCGGCCTGGGGTGAAACACCCACTTGCCAGACTCTGCACCCCGTGGAAGGAGGTGTGTCCTGCCCCAGCACCTAGTCACGTAGCAAGGTAGACCAAGGAGCCGGTACAGTGTCCTACCTACAGCAACATTTCTAAGGAGACAGAAGTCAGAACATGTTTCTTTTAAAAAATGTTTCTCATAAAATCAGTCATGATCATTGCAGAAACTTCAGGAAATGTAATAACTGCTTCACTTATTGTACCTTCTTATGTATCCCAGGGGGTCCAGCACATCCATTATTCCTTCAGTTCCCACTTGACACATGGGGAAACTATGTGTGAACAAATGGAGGACATGGGAGTTTAGATATAAGAGCACATGTGTGACACATACATACAAACCAACCACACACTAACACAGATACAAACACACACCCACTGGCAGAACAGCCCCACCCAGAAATGTAATGAGGTAACATTTAATGTACAGCTTTCCAGGTAGTTCTAGGGACATCTAGAGATATTTTTCTTAAGAAATGTTATCCTTAAAGTGACATTGGAAAAAGTGGGCACATTGGACTATCTAAAGAGAAAAGCACTTAGTATGGGGAGAAAAAAACATAAGCAAAGTTAAAAAAAGAAATTGGAGAAAAATATCTGCTACAAGCAGCAGACGAAGGGTTATATTATCACTAGACCTCCAAATTCATTTTCCTCACCCTTCTCCACCTTTGACTTTTTGAAGTCAGTCAACCCAGTGGAAAAAATAAGCCAAAGGAATAACAGGCAATTCCCAGTGTACAAATGGCCAAGACATTTGAGATGATACACAAAACCATGCAAATTAAAATGCTCATTAATAACTGTCGTGAAAAAATATTTTAAAAGCAAGATCCAATAATACTCTTCTGGGGGAAGTGTAACTTAATATACAACTTTTAAATAACATATAACTGTAATTCAGTTGTATGCAGTTGTGGGCCAGCAAATGTTTAGCAACTGGCACTCTGGAAAAAGGGGAAGAGGGCTGGTTTGTCATATTTGCTAGTTTCCATGGTTTAAATATTGCCACCATGGCTCATTTCAAGCTACCCATAGGCTATCAGTGAATGGGAAATTGGGAAGAGATGCATAGTAGCTGCTATTGTGTTGCATTTCTATTGTCCAGATATGAGAGACATGAGCTCAGATAACCATAAAATGTAGTAACATAATTAGGCAGTAATGAGTTTTCACTATTTATTAGCTTTAACATGAACTATTTATTTGTAAATTAACATAATTTTTAAATAGTGATTGTGTTTAACAATTCCTGAAAATTTAACACAAGATCATCTAAGCAGGCTCTAGCACACCACTGGCCTTATCCTTTACATTTAAAAAGTACAAATTCAGTTCTTCGGTCCTGCTTCAGGGAATGTATCCTATAGAAGAGTGGCACACATATATGAAGATGTTATGTACAGTGATGTTCTTTGCAGAACTGTTTATTAGAGCAGAGAAATAATAGGAGAAAAGTTCAATAAACTATGGCAGAGTCACATAAGAGACCACTAATTTGCCATGACAGAGAATGAGGTCAGCCATTGGGCACAGGCATGAGCAATGCCAAGACATTCATATAACAGCACGCTGCAGTCAGTGTGCAGAGTATAAATCCACTTTTATACTGACCTAATCATTACAATAAAACTTGAACACACACACACTAAATGTGCGCAGCAGTTTTCCACAGGTATGGGACCAAAAAAGGCAGGGAAGGCAATTGTTAACAAACTTTATGTAATCCCAAAGAAGGGAAGTGGTTGGGGGTAAGAGTGATTTCTCATTTGCATGTACGTTTTTCATTTTTACAAATAATTTGCAGAAAATCTTGTCATGAATACTTGTAGCTAAATTTCTACACACAAACATAATTATCTCCTTGGGGGATTTTTATAGAAGTGGAATTTCTGAAGTAATGGTTTGTCCCTTGCTATGGCTTTTTGAAAATATTAGCAAAATTGCCTTCCTTACAGGTTCATCAGCAGGAGACGAGTGCCTGTGCCCCCTCCACTGTTCTCCATGGTTGCTGGCTTCCATTTATTTGATTACTCATAAAGGCAAATATTGTTGGCTCCATCTCTGCTCCTTGTGAATTGCTCATTTATGTCCTTTGCCCATTTCCTACTGTGGTGGTATCGGATTAACCCATTGGAGCCTTTCTCCTTTAGGCCTGTACACTGAAATTTCTTGCCCTCTTTTTGTCTATTTTTTGGGGGATGGGGAGACCCTTCCACCAGATACACCCAGATCTTCCTTCAGGGCTCTGGTCCCTGTCACTGCTCCAAGGCTTTGCCTGATCTGAGTTACCGTTACCAACCTGGGAAAAGAGGCTACAGATTCATTAATGAATAACTAAAAATGCTGGATAAAAACGGTTTAAATCTTCTTAAAAGCATCAAAGGGCAAATGAGGTACACGAGGTCTTTCTGGAAAAAGTCCTGCCAATGTTAATATAATGAGAACAATTTGCGCAACATTGATGTAACCTAGCAGCCAAGAAAAGCGGACTGGAATGCATGTGCGTGAACAGTGACAACTTCACTGTACTAGTCAGTGGGGACAGTAGACGATATTGAGTAAGCATGTGTACTGTGTGGCCATTGCATTCAAAAGGACTGAGAGAGTAGAGCAACAAATCTGCACCAGATTTTGCACTTGGTTTGAACATTCCTCCGCAGAAATCTTTCGGGTGATTCAGAAGGCCGCAGCTATGGGCAAAGGGTGATTGGCAGCTTCATCACAACATGCCCAACTTATGCATCACATCTTATGCAGTTTTTTTGGCGAAATATCAAATCACCCAGGTGACTCTGCACCCCTACGGCCCAGATTTTGTGCCCTGCAACTTCCGGTTTTTCCCAAAACTAAGGTCACCTTGGAAAGGGAAGAGACATCAGACCATCGATGAGATTCAAGGAAATACAACAGGGCAGCTGATGGTGATTGGGAGAACTGTGTGAGGCCCCAAGATGCCTACTTTGAAGGGGACTGAGACATCATTGTCCTGTGTATAGTATTTCTTGTATCTTGTATCTTCTTCAATAAATGTCTCTATTTTTCATATTACATGTCTGGATACCTTCTAGACAGACCTCATAAGGAATTTTGAAGCCAAAAACCAAGTAAAGGGAGAACCCAGAGAGGTGATCACGGCACTGAAACGACTTAGGTTGGGATTTTTTTCTTCATGGGCTCATGGGTTAAAAGGGCCAATATAAGGTGATGTGCCTACTAGGTGACTCTTAAAAAAAAAAAAAAGATTTTATTTATTTATTTTTAGAGAGATGGGAAGGGAAGGAAGAAGAGGGGGAGGAACATTGATTGGTTGCCTCTCACACATGCCCTGACAAGGGACTGAACTGGCAACCCAGACATGTTGTCTGACTGGGTATCAAACTGGTAACCTTTCTCTTTGTACTTCATCACCCAAACAACTGAGCCACATCGGTCAGGGCCCTGATAGGTGATTCTTGCCCACAAAGCTGGGGCCCCAAAAAGCAGTGGGTGAATTCCCTATCTTCCCCAACTATGGAGTCTGGAAAAACAACAAAGTAAAGCCACCTTGGTGTTCAGCAGAAAAGGGAAAATAACTCACTGATAAACTGAAATCACATGCTGACACTTCGTGGCTTTGCAGACCAAGTTCCTATCACCTGAGTGATCCCCCCCACAAAAAAAAATGTTAGGCACCTGGCAGAGGCGAATAAATCCTTCCTCTATAAAAGCATTTTAGCCCTGGCTGGTGTGGCTCAGTGGATTGGGTGCCGGCCTGCAATCCAAAGGGTCACCAATTTGATTCCCAGTCAGGGTACATGCCTGGGTTGCAGGCTGGGTCCCCAGCAGGGGACGCGCAAGAAGCAACCACACATAGATGTTTCTCTCCCTCTTTCTCCATCCCTTCCCCTCTCTCTAAAAATAAATAAATAAATAAAATCTTTTTTTTTTTTAAAGCATTTTACTATAGGCCACAAAGGGCAACAACTGGCAAATTCACCAAGAACATAAAAATAAGGCACCATGAATGAAAGCCAGCGGACACACAGATCAGCAGAACAGAGTCACAAATGTGTCAGACACTGAAGACTTCAGATTCAATTACATGTATGCTTACTTTGTTTACAAAATTAGAGACGAGATTTTAAGTACCTGCAGAGATCCATAAAATATAAAAAGTGACATAATGCGTGAAAAAGAACTTTTAGAAATGAAGACTATAGTCATCAAAAATTAAATTTCAGTGTATAAGTTTAAGAAATAAAACATAATCATAGAATTAGCGATCTTAAAAATACGTCAGAGTAAATTATCCAGACTGCAGCCCTTGTACAGCTTTCGATTTTGTGCCCGTGGGGCCTCATTTGCCTC